CGGAGCGAGGCCTGGGCACCTGTATTTTTAAAACTCTTTCAGGTAATGGTAATGTCTAGGCAGCACTGAGAGCTACTGGTCTAGGTGATCTCTAAGTAACTTCTGGCTGTAATATACTGGGGCTCTGTGATTCTAGAATAATCACAAAAATCAATACTTTGTAAATAGAGTAACAAAAAAGCAGAATTGGAAGGCAACTTAAATATGATCTAGTCCAGAATCTTCATTTCACCCCACAGACATGCCATCAATGACAACACTGAGAAGTAAGACACTGGGGACCCCTGCCCTCACTCTGTCTGCCTTCTCCCTCCAAATCCTATGTGGACATTGGTCCTGCCAGCTCCAGGAAAGGGGTCATCTTTCCTATGACCTTCCCCCCTGGGCATGGTGGCTAGACAAGCTGTTAGGCAGGGGCTGTGGGGAGATACTCAGGACTCCCTAGGGCTCCAGGGGAAACAGCCTGAGGAACTCCAACTCATGAGTATTTTTCTCTGCTCCTGGATGGATCCTGTTAACATGCTAGCAGATGAAGGGCCATGCCAGGCCTTCTCTTAGGGAGGATGAAGCCCTGGACCTCTATTTTCAGTTCCTAATACAAGTTCTGTTTCTTGTTGCATCTAGATCGTCTTACAGATGACCAAAGCAACCACTTGCTACAATTTCTTATCCCATTGTTGGTGGTGATTCTGTTTGCTGTGGACACAGGTTTGTTGATCTCGACCCAACGGCAGTTCACATTTCTGCTGAAGATGAAGAGGACCAGGAAAGGCAACAAATTTATGGGTACATGACCTAAACCAGATCCCCCAGACAACTGATGTCACAGCTCAAGAAACATCTGCAATGACAATTTCTTTCTGGCATTAGCAATGGCTTCTCAACTGTCAAACACAGCTCACAAGTTACGCAGGAAGTGCTCAAGGCTTCACCGAACTGCTTCATTAAACCAACCCAACCTGGTAATTCCTCAATAAACATCAGTTAAATAAGTAAAAGAATGAATAGACTCATTTATCAGCGTCTGTAAAAAAAAGACATACAACTTGAATAAAAAAGTATAAAACCCTGTAATATGATGCTTCTAAGTATCTGAGGCTTGCTAGTTTCCTTTTTTGCTTCTAGAGGCAAGAACCATGAGGTTCTAGATCACAAATGTTCTCTCTTACAATCTTCTTTCCATTGTAAGCAAGTCTGAGCTAGACATGAGAAGACACAGTAGGATGCTGGTGAAGTTGATCATTTTGTACTCTCTCTTCCACTTACTCTCCATGAACTTCTAGTTCTTGGCAGAATCTGGGGCAGGCTTGAGCCACAGGACTCTGGGGAGGAGGCTTGGTCTAAGATTCACTCCTCTAAGATCTCCCAAATTTGAATCTTGCATATCCTCTTGCAGCACCTGAACTAGGCATCTTTGAGAAACTCCAGCAGATAATCGTAACTCTCATTCTGAAAACAGTCCAGGACTGAATAAGGTCTCAGACAGAGACCCAGTTTTCACTCTCTCATCCCCACCCACCCTCTGGTCCTGGAGACAGCTGTGCTGAGGGCTTGGGGAGAGCACTAGGGAAGAGAGGCAACGCACTGCCAGTGCTGACCATGGGTTCACAGCAGTCAGTGAGAGATCAGGGTGCCTACAGTTCACTTACATTTTTGAACAATTAACAACATAAGGAGGAAGTGAACTAGGGAGAAAATCTGTAAATATCCACGAGACTGACAAGTCCCATTTTCTCCAAAGGATGCTTTTGGGCCATAGAGCAGAGAGAAATTATTAAAGCTTTTTTTCTTCTTTTAAATATAGGTATCTGGTACCTTTTATACTTTTTAGACAAAGAAATGATACATTTGGGTGGAACTGACAGGACAAAGAAACTTAGGTTTTGAGTGCTTAATTAGTGAAGAATCTAAACAGCATTTGGGCCTGAGGGAGTGAATGAAAGAAGTAACAAGATTCAATTTATATCAGCTTCTCAGCCCCGAATTCCCTCTCTCTCGCATAAAGAGTGTCATACCTCCAAATGCAAGAAGTGCATCCTTCATATGAGAGATTTATTTCCTCCTTTCAGGGAGACAGAAAGGAGGGTCAGAGTGCCCCTCCTGCACCGACCATTTATTTCCTAAGTAACTTTAACTCAAAATAATCAATATGCCACTGTGGCATATTTAGGGGCAGCATGCTCTGAGCCCCAACACTGGTATGAACCTCCTTAATACTGTCCACTTAAAAAAAGATCACTTCAGAGACATAAGAAATGACCAGATTCGCAGTGAACAGCCTTGTCCTTTGGCTTCCCATAAATAAGCCTGGAGAAGTGATTTTTCTTGCAATAGCAGGCCAGGGAAAGTCCCTGTCGGAAGCGCCTTGGTGTTGCTCCTGGACACTTCCCCTACCCTTGAGGAAAGACAAGAGGTCTATTGTAGGTTACAGACTTGGGACTACAGTCTTACAGAGCATTCATTAACAATACCCAGTCTCACAGTGTTTTATACACAGCTACGCATGAGGCTAGAGAGCAAGTTTCTTACTCTTTCATTTGGTCTGAGTCCAAGCGGCCCCCTAGAGAGTTCAGCAATGAGAGAGATTTAACAGAGATAGGAAGCCCAGGCTTTATAAACTTGAGATACATCTTCTGAGGGACTTTCTGAACTCTTGTTATAATTCACTTAAAAAAAAAGTATAGTTGACGTACAATATTATGTAAGTATAGGTGGTTACAATTTTTTCTTCCATTTTCATCCTCCCTCCCAGCTCGCAAGGGCTATGGAACAGAGCACAAGCCTGGACATTTGAGTTGTTGTTAACTGTGTGGCTGGGGCAAGTTACTTGCCAGGCTGAGATTCCATCTCTCCTTTGTAACAAGTGGGGCTTGGACTAGATGGTCTCTAAGCTCCGCCTGAGCCCAGATATTCTGTCATTCACTATTTGGGAACCTAGTTCCTCTGTGGTGACTCTCCAGGCATAAAGGCTCAGAACGCATTCCCCAAGAAGCTCCAGTGTGAACTTGTCCTTCCTCCTCCACACACTGGCCTCTCGCTCCACAGTGCTCTTCCACGTGTCCAAATTTCAAGTTTGTATCAGATTTATGTGTACAGTTTATTTTGACCTTTTTTCTTCTTGATATTCATAATCTGTTCCATAGGGAATGTGGAAAAACATAGGTCTTCAGTATTTTGTGCACCCCTCCAAATACAATATTTATAAAGGTGTCTTTTTATTTTAATATACACAAAATCTATTAATGCCAGAGAGGGAGTGTGTTTTTATACAAATGATCAGAATAAAAATAAGTTACTCTTGGGACTTCCTTTGTTACCTCTACTCTCTTACCAAATTGGTCTAGGCCAGCCCACAGAGCAAATTTCAGATTGCTGGTCCAAACTGGCTGCCACAAATTGTCACGAGCTTCCAGTAATAATTAGGGATTGGTTTTTTGAAAATCAAGTCAATAGCTCTCTACTAGTGGCCAATGGAAGACAAATCTCCTCAGCCACATCAAGAGTGAAAACTCAGACGAGAGGTACACCTTGTTGGTATTTTGCGAAACTGATAACTGAAGAGAAGCTCTTTCTGTTTTCTCATCAAATGGGAAATGGAACAACAGGGATATCTTCTTGAGCCCAGAGACGGGAGCTCCACGTTGAGAATGGCAGAGACACGTGCCAGCTGGAGTCCCTAGAGAACCTTGGAGGGTAGTAGTGTCTTCCTGTCTTAGCCATCTACCCAGCTCTGGACAGTTACCTACCAAGCCCAAGTCCCTAACTGGCACCTTATCAGTTTCCATGACATTCCCATCACAAAACTTTTACTCTATAAATGTGTCCAGGATCACTGTATCACTGATGGCACCCACAATCTTCCCCTTCTTGAAAATTGGGATGACATATGCTCACTTTTAGGCTTTCCTGTTATTTGAAATTTTCAAATTATCACTGAGAGTGCTCAGCAATTTCACTGCAAGGTAAGGGCACCCAGCTGCAATGACAACGAAATTGCTTCTTGAGAAATTTTTTTCCCTTTGTTTTATGAGGGGGAGGTAATTAGGTTTATTTATTTATTTATATTTGAAGGAGGTACTGGGGATTGAACCCAGGACCTCATGCATGCTAAACATGTGCTCTACCCCTTGAGCTATACTTTCCCCTGTTTCTAGAGAAATTTTTGAAGACAAAATAATGACTCTTGGGGATTCTGAGAAAAATCCAAAATTTTTAACCAGTTTCCAAGAAAGTGACACTGTACTGCCACAGACTAAACTGAGCCACAGTAGATATCGTTCAATTAGTAGGATAAAATTATTTTTAAATAAAAATATAGGAATCATTGACGTTCTGCCTTCATTAGATTATATCAAGGTTGAAAATTTGGGTTCTCCACTGGCCAACCACTGCTCTAGAAATTCTAAAGTGTTGCAGATTGGGATTCCCTAGGAAAGAGATCCCGAAGCAGCGATTTGAAAGCAACAAGTTTATTAGGAAGTGCCCTCAGCACCAACACCCAAGCGGGAGTGAAGGCAGCAGAACTGGGCAGAGAGGGAAGTTGAAATGTGATGCAGTCACAGCAGAAACCTCAAATCATCCCACAGCCCTGGAGCTGGTGGGGCCTGCCATAATCATCTTAAATTGAGATTAAGGGTACCCATCTCAATACCCTGAGAAAGATAAGTCATTGGAAAGCCTGCCCATGGGAAGGGGGTGTGACTTTGGAGGAGGTAGCTCGGTACTAAGGGCAATTTCTGAAGCAGGACTCAACCGAGAGCTGTCAGCCCAGGACATTCCCAGCAGCTGGGGGAATGAATGTGTGGGTCCTGAGCATCCACTAAAGACAATTTCAAATAGAATAGAGTGCAACACTGGTCATCAGACCTTTACATAACAGCTTTATCTGAACTAAGCAGAATTACTAAGCAAAAAAAAAAAAAAAAGAAAAAAAAGAAAATTTTCTGGGCTATCCTCGCAGAAGTGAACTATCATTTCTAGAAATCTAGTCACAAAGGCAAAGATATCTTTTATCCCTGATCATATTGCACATGTTTCACATGCCAGGGTTTTGTTTTATGTATTTATTTACCTTTTCCAAAGCAAGACACGTTAACTAGACTTAGAGAATTTGTGAATTTCCACTGGCTTGTCCCATCCTCAGCACCCAGCTAAGTTCTTGACACTCTTACAAGTGATATCTTGCCTCTGCAGGGTCACTCTAAGGGATGAGCTGGATTCTAGAGACTGCAGGAGCTGGGTTTGAAACTCAAGTTATGCGTGTTCCTCAGTATAGAAGGCCAGAGTGGAGGGGGAGGATGAGGGAGAGAGGATCCTTCTCTGAACAGAGCATACGTTTTCTCCTTCTGTGATGCTCAGACACGAAATGCTGTTTTTTAACTAAGGTTTTAAGTTGGAAGAATCTACGAAGAAATTTCTGAAGATTAATATATGAAGGCTTAGGAGTTTAGTGGACCATTTTTTCAGTTAAGTTAAGCTTTAGACTTCTGCTCATTAATAAATAATTTCTGAAGTTGTAGTTAAAGCGCTTAACTTTATAACACTATTTCCAAGATTTAGGTCTACCCTGCAAAGGAAACTATGATTTTGCTTGGCTCCTTCCAACCTCCATCCTCTTTCTCTCCTGTTCTGGAAGTATGGAAAGCACCGACCTTTCCAGCACGCTCTCCTTTCCAATTGGACTGTTCTCACCTAGGCACCTTGGGACAATGGACGACCCACCTCTGTGTTCTCAGCAGCTGATGATTTTTTGCTTTGCCATGTGTGCACTCCTCATTCCCAGGAATGGCCAGGTAGGGCAGTTGTAGCCACTTGGAAAGTGTGTACCCAACCTTTTGAAGATCCCCCAGGCTGTGATGGGATATTAGCAAGCAGCAAAAACAGATTACAAGAAAGCCTTCAATGTCCACAGGCAAGGACATGCACGTGTCTCCTCATTTGTTTGTTAAAACTTTGCACAAATTACTCCTACACCCTCAACAACATGCAAGTATTTATGAGGTGGTTTCCAAGCCCTTTGTTCAGCAGCTTTTTAGAACCCTGCTGGATCTTACGTCTTAATGGAGTTGTATAACCCAGTACATTCTCAGGATGGGTGTAGATGTGTGCGTGTGTGTGTGACAGAACAGGGACATGAGTGACTCAGGCAGGTAAATCCTTCCTCTACATTCTTAGGTGTATGCAAGTCGTTTTCTATCCTCTGAAGGAGGGCACAGAGAATAACGACTGGCCTGGATGGAAGCCTCCAGTTTTCGCATCCAATTCAAGGCAGTCCATTCTTCTTGACCCCATACTTAAAGGCATTATTGAAACAGCATTAAAATCAATACATATTTATGACATGAAAGAAAAAGCCTCCCCACTAAGAGGAGAGGGGCTTTTGCCCCACGGCTCTGCACAGAGCATCTCTGACCTCCTTGTTCCGCAGGCTGTACACAACGGGGTTTAGCAGAGGAGTGATGACAGTGTAGGTCACCGAGATGAGTCTGTCCTGCCCCAGAGAATTCTGGGACTTAGGCTTCAGGTAAATGATGGAGGCACAGCCATAGTGGATGACGACCACCGTGAGGTGGGAGGCGCAGGTGGCAAAGGCCTTCTTTCGACCCTCGGCTGAAGCAATCTTAATGATGGTGGAGATGATGAGGACATAGGAGATGAAGATCAGGACCACGGGTAGAACAAGGACACAAACACTGACAACAAAGTTGATGATCTCACTGACAGTGGTGTCTGTGCAGGCCAGCTTCAGCAGCGGTCTCACGTCACAAAAGAAGTGAGAGATGACAAAGACATCACAGAAGGAGAGGCCAAACACAGATGTTACCTGGACAATGGCCATACCCAGGCCAGTTCCCAGTGACCCAGATGCCAGCTGGACACAGGCTTCTTTACCCATGATGACAGAATACCGGAGGGGGTTGCAGATGGCCACATAGCGATCATATCCCATAGCTGTGAGCAGGAAGCAGTTGTTGATACCAAAGGTGAGATAGAAGAAGAGCTGAGTGGCACAGCATGGGATAGAAATGGGCTGATGAGGACTCAGGAGGCCAGAAAGCATACGGGGAATGATGGCCACCGTGTAGCATGTCTCAGAGATGGACAGCATGCTCAGGAAAAAGTACATGGGAGTATGGAGGTGACGGGCCAGGCTAATAATAGTCACGATAATGACATTGCCAGAGAGAGTGAGCAGGTATAAAGTTAGAAAGACAACAAAAAAGCCAAGCCTGTGCTGCCACCCAAAGCTGGAGAAACCTTCAAAGAGGAATTCAGTCACAGCAGTGGAGTTTGGCTTTGGGACCGAGGGAGGTCTAGGTTTAAAAGAGCTGGGCAAAGGAAAGAAAGGCGTGATGAGTTAATCACGAAAGAGAGTAGGCTGGCCCAAGGCCTTCAGTAAAGGGTGTGTCCGTCCTTTGAGCAATGCCTCAGACATCAAAGATCATCAGTGTTCAGCTGTTGGCCAGTGGCTCAGAGCCATCACGTTTTCCCACCCTCTTCTTTGGGACTACAGAAGTGTTACTCAGAACCCTGGGGTTCATGGTAGAGATAGATCTGCAAAGGAAAGTAGCGACATATAAAAAGGCAGATTTATAGAAATAATTACCCAGCCATTGACGAGATGAGTCCAGGTCAAGGAAGAAGTCCAGCTCTATGGTCCCTTCTCAATACTCTTGATTAAGTCCCCTAAGGATCCAATGAGGAACAGTGACCTAAGTGAAAGACAAAAGATATCTGAGGCTGACATCCTTTCAACACTGTCAGAATGCACTGTCAATAGCAAATGCCCCACGAGGGTCCTAGAATGACTCCTCCTCCCTGGAACTCTAGGTCCTAGCCTTCACCTCCCTAAGCCCTGCACTAAAATCTACTGTGATCATTAAAGACTCGAAAAGGGAGCACTTCTAGATATTCCTTCAGCAAGCCATGCACCAAATATCCTCTAAGATCAGGAAAAATGATCTACAAGGCAATGTAGGTACTTAGCTTATTTCCTTAAATTCCAGCAAAGGTAGGAGAGAGGATGGAATAAATCTAAGGATACCCCTTCAGGTCCTTTCAAGTAGGGAATGGGTCTTCCCAGTGTCAGAGCAAAGATAAAATTCATTTAATCAGAACCAGATGTTCTATTTTTTACTTCAATTTTGCACATTCCAAGTTGTGATGGGGATAGAAATGATCTTACTCCACATGAGCTCAGACTATCCTGGAGTAGATTTAAACCCGTTAAACCTATATCTACTCCTGATTACCCACCATGTTTAACCAGTACCTCCATTCAGGAAGCTGAGACTCATTCCCATTATCTCCCTTCCCTTTTCCATCCTGAAGAAAGTGCTTCCTGAAATTCTCTCCACCCTGTCCCCTCCTCTCCATGCTTTCCACCAACACCCAACTCCCAACCACCACCATCATTCTCTGTGATGACTGCAATGGTCTCCTAACTAATCTCCCTCATTTCAGTTGGCTTTAATCCAAGTCTTCTGACATTCTTTTAAAAAAAGTCTGCTAATGAAGCTCCCCTGCATAAATTCCTTCAGTAGCCCCTCTAAATTTTAAGCATAATATTTAAACTCATTTATAAATGAAATATAGTAATACTCCATAGAGTTGCCATAAGTGTTAAATGGGTTAATGTCTTTGAAGTCTTTGGCATAGCACTCATAGCACACACAGGAAGCTCTTAACAAACAGTAGTTTTATTAGTACTTATTTCTTTTAATTTTCTACCAATGAACCAGTTTAAATATCTAAGAGAAGAAGGATGGGGTAGAGAGGCTTCAGTCTAGCATTCTAGGATGTGTAAACAAGCCTGTGATTATTCTATCCTTGATTTTATAAATTTTATCATTTCTCTCCCAATTGCTCATAAGGACTTTTTCATGCTCTTTGAACATCTTTCTTGAGGTACGTTGACCAGAACCATGTACCACTGCATGTACTGTCCCAACACAGGTATGAATTAGGTAGAGTAAGATTTTCAGTTTTGCTTCTAATCCCCTTCTTAAGATGCCCAACATTTACTTCTCCCTTAGGTCACAGTAGCCCACCCAGCTAATATACCCAGGACCAATCTGTAGTGACCGCTAGATTGTGGTCCTGGGTTATAAGCAATTGTTTAGAATCCAACACTATAAAGTCACAGTTTTCATTATACTTGCACACTTGAATTGAAATTCATCCAGGTTATTTGTTTAATTTAATTCCACTTTCTTGGCCAGACAATCTTATTCATGCTGGTAGCCTAGAATATTTCTGTTTCCTTCCTCCTCCAGACCATTAATCAGCTCTAATTGTTAACACCTTAAAAGACTCTATCCCAGCACCATGATGTGGGAGACTCTAACAGAACAACCAGTAAAGGGGTGCAGAGTGGGATGGGGAAATCAAAAACATTGGCAAGAGCAGGATTACTCATCTAGGGTGTAGGAAGCAAAGATGAGAGACAAAAAAGCAGAGAGGGTACAGAAGAACAGAAACCTCAAAATTCAGATAATGTCTTTGATTTTGGACTTTTTACTAGCCTTCTTTCTTTAAAATAAATGACCAAAATTTTTCTTAAACTTTTTTTATTGAGTTATAATAAAATTCTTAAAAAGTAAAATAAAGCCTGCTCCTGATTCA